CCCCACCCCTCAGGAGTATTTCCAAGCCCTTCTAGGTTTTCTGGAATCCAGGCCCAAGAGCATGAGGTCAGGAGAGAAGAGACATCCTATTTCGCCTGTCTAGGGACAGCCTTCCTTGCCCTTCCTGGGATGGCTGGCAGAGGGCAGTCCCACTCCCCTAGGGCAAAGTGCCCAACTCTGCCTACAAGCAAATGATCTTGCCCTGACACCCTGATGCCACTTCTCTCAGAGGGCAAGGGTCTATGTACATCAGAAGTGGAGTATGTGTAAATAATTAAGATTCCTGGGTCCCATCTCAGACTCATTAAATCAGAACATGGGAATGGAACCTAGAATCTGCTGGCAGAGACAGCAATGCCCATGCATTCCTTGGAGTCAGAAGATTTGGTCTTAAATACTACACATGGGGACATCAGTGGTAAGGTCTGGACCAAGCTTTCCCTGACTTGTTAATCCCATGCGAAGAGCAGGTGGGACTTAACCAATCTCCTTCAGTCTGTAGAGTCTCAGCTCTCAAATTCCTCCAAACTGCCACTCAAACAGGGACACACATGTTCACAAAGGTCCGGCCCAAGCAGGCAAATGTTGTCTAACACCTTGGTCAGAGGCATTTCCCATCAGGCAACCCAACCTGAAGGAGGCAGCTCTGCCTACAACTGGGGCCCCTTGTACCCGAGCATGGGAACAATAGGCTTTTTAAGGTCTTGGCTTCTCAAATGTCTATTTCAGAGATCTGCAAACAGAGCCTTTGCTTTTTCGTTTGCATAACCAAATGGTTGAGTCAAGTGGTTTCACTGGAAAAAGAGCAGTGTACACCTGCCACTGCTGTAGGACAGGGGCCATGGGCCTCCCAGGAAGGGTGACTCTCGCACCCAGACCAAGAGAGTGATCCCAGGAAACAGGAGCAAGTGATCAGCATACTAATGGACCACAAATGTGGTTGTTTTGCTTTTCAGTTGACATTTTGTTTTTGTGGTTTTTTTTTTCTGAAAACTGAGCCATCAAAATAAACAGTTCATAGATTTCAGTTTCTTGAGCAAAAAAAAAATAAAATAAATAAATAAATAAACAGTTCAATTTAAAAAAAAGAGAAATGGTTAACGATGCCACTTTATTGGGCTATTTTTAAAATGTATTTCAATAAAGTTTTACTACTGGGTAAGAAACAAACCAAACTGAGCCAACACTTTCAAACCAGAAGTTTCAGGCCACTGTGGTTCCTCACATCTATGATCCTAGCACTTTGGAAGGCCAAGGCAGGGGGGTTGCTTGAGGCCAGGAGTTCAAGACCCGCCTGGAGACCATCCCACCCCCAGTCTCTAAAAATAAAAAGTAAAAAATTAGCCGGGCATGGTGGCATGTGTCTGCAGTCCCAGCTAGTTGTAGGCTGAGGCAGGAGGATCCTTGAGCCCAGGAACTATTGAGCCTGTTTCTAAAAACAAAAAAGTTGTAAATAAAAATCCAGATTTCCAGCTTTTCTGTAAAAATTCAGAAGAGTGATACCAGCAGGCCTGGCTTCTGCACAGCAACAGTGTCACGGAGCTGAGTGGCGGCCACCGCTGTAATCCCGGTGCGTCTCCCCACGCGCCCCCACCAGGCAGCACGCCCAGCACTCGCCACGCCGCTGCCCGCTGTCTTCTCACACCAGCCTGGTGCCCCTCAGCCTGCCGCTCCGCTCCGGAGGCTGCGCGCGCTCTGCTCTGCTCTGCACGGGCAAACTCCAGTCCCCCAAGCACCTGGGCACACTACCTAACAAGCTCTTTTCCACCAGCCTTTCCAATGTTGCAGCAACTGGGGAAGAATATTTTTCCATGCCTCATGCCAGAGACCTGGGCTGGCATTTTCTTGTCTTTTACCTGGATTTGGCCAAGTGCTTTGTTTCTCCTGGAAACTTGGCACCATCAGGGCGTCCGTCATCACCTGAGATAGTCTCCCCTGTGGCCCTGTGATGCCCACAGAGCCTCCGAGCTGGAGGGGCGCGTCTGAAGCAGGGGAATGGAGTATCAATGGAGCCCGTATTACTTTGTCTGGGACATGTGTCCAAGGCAGTGGCCTTTGCCACTGAGGGTATGAGGGTCCTGTCAGGATCCTCCCTCTGTCCCCTCACTGCTGAAATGTCCCAGCAACTTACCTTGGGAACTGACATTTAACACAGTTCTAGTGTATATGGGCCTTTGTAAAAGATTGTCAAGGTTTTAAGGTAAACCCACCAAGAGAGTGAGGTTCCAGGCAGGAGCTCAGAAAGGTTCCCTGAAAATCTATTCTTTTTTAAATTTTAAAATGAGAGAGAAAAAGCCTAGAGATTCCAAATTTTGTTTGAAAACTATTAAGACAGGGCTATGCTACTAATTTTATTCTAAAAAAGATAACTTCTATTAACTTCTATATATGTTCCAATAACAATGACATTGATTTGGCATCTTATAAAACTTAAAATGTGATTTAATTAAGTGGTGTTTTAAAAGCATTAAAAGGCACCCGAATGTCTAGCCTATTGAAGCACCCAGCACTTTTGCCTCTGATGGGGAGCAAGCTGTGTTTCCTGGTTCTCTGTAGGGACGAATTTGTTGGAGAAGACAGAAGACAGAGGGAGCTGAAGGAGGATGACTGCACACTTCTTCAGACATTTCCAGCGAGAAAGTTCTTCATCATTGACAGAAGAGGGTTGGGGCACACTGACAGGTGGCCTTTATGTCAAAGCCTTGATTTTAAGTGTTTATTTGAAAAATACCCCTTGCACACACTCAGGAAGTAAAAATCAATCCCACTACAGGAAGCATTTACAATGCTGAAGACAGGATAGCCCCTAGGCCTCCTCCCGCGCCCCGCCCCACTCTCCTCTCCAATCCCACGGCCCAGAGGTAACCCCGGTGACGGTGACGCTTCCCACTAATGCCCATGCAGACGTCGTTCACCTCTGATCTAAACTGAGACACAGAGCTCTGGGCACGGGCATCTCAGGTTAGCCTTAGGATCCGTGTGCAATCTCGCCTTACCTGCCCTTGAGCTCTGGCCCTGCGGAGGGAAGGAGGGCAGGTCCTGGTGGCCATGGGCTGCTCTGAAGGCACAATCACAGCCTGGGGGCGGGGGAGGGCGGGGAGTATGTGGATCAGGGCAAAGGGGCTGCCAAGGGGAGCACTTGCTACCAGTTCAAGGTCAGGTTTGCAGAGCTGGAGGAGCTGAAGTTACCACACCGGCTGCAGACTGGGAAAGCTAGCAGTTTCAGTTCTCAGCAGGAAAAGTTTGGGCAGTGAAAGTAGGATTCACTGCTCAAGGAGGGAGAAATTTCCTGATTTGAGACAGAACACTCGGATAGTCAACAGTGCTTTAGTCACATGGGAAAAGGCTCAACATAAAATGTTAATTTAGGCTGGGCGCGGTGGCTCACGCCTGTAATCCTAGCTCTCTGGGAGGCCGAGGCGGGCGGATTGCACAAGGTCAGGAGTTCAAAACCAGCCTGAGCAAGAGCAAGACCCCGTCTCTACTATAAATAGAAAGAAATTAATTGGCCAACTGATATATATATAAAATTAGCCGGGCATGGTGGCACATGCCTGTAGTCCCAGCTACTCGGGAGGCTGAGGCAGTAGGATCGCTTGAGCCCAGGAGTTTGAGGTTGCTGTGAGCTAGGCTGATGCCATGGCACTCACTCTTGCCTGGACAACAAAGCAAGACTCTGTCTCAAAAAAAAAAAAAAAAATGTTAATTTAAAAAGAGGGAGAAAATTGTGTACAGATAATGTGACCCCAAATGGGTGAAGTCAGTTTCTGTATATGACTACCTCTTTACGAATATTCAGACATAAATAGAAGAAACTCAGACTGAAATATATCAAAATGTAATTAAATTTGTTCTTTATCATTACCTTATTATTTCATTTTTCTTTAATGAAAATGGATTTCTCCTGCAATAAAATGTTTATATTGAAACAAAGGTCAAACGCTGCATCTGTAGTGACTTAAGCTGGTTGGTCTTTGACAGAAAGAGACTAAATCTAGGGTGACGAAAGACATGTGAAAACCAGCATGAGACACTGGGAGGAAGAACTTTTTTGAGCCTCAGTTTCTCAGTAATGAGATGATTAAATATTTCCAAAGAATTCTACATGATTCATAATCTCCAAATCAACTCTGACAAGTGAAGCTTGGGCTGGGGTTTTACAATTGTATTCTCTATTTCATCACGTGTGAGAGAGAGCTTGTGCAAGTGCTTTCATCTTGTCAGGCTCAGCCTTTGAGGTTGGGGCAGGCGGGTTTGAGGCTGCCTGGGGCAAGGGCAGGACTGCTCCCAGGCCTGGGAGCCGCAGGGTGCGCTCAGTGCCGCCCTCAGCTCTGGGAAGGCTCTGAAAGCCCTGCTTTTGCACCGCAGGTCCCAGGGCCCCAGAGTCTTCTGCTGGGGAATCGGCTTTCTTCCCAAAGGGACAAGGCCTTCTTACCATGACCTCACAGTTAGCGTGGTCATTAGATGAGTATCTGCATGTCTCCCTCTCCTGCACTCTAAGTTGAGAACATGCCCTGCAGTCTGGTGCATAGGACCTGAGGTGTTGAAAACATTATTTTGACATGACTGATTTTTACACTGACTGTAGCTAAAGTCCTCTTTAATTCTACTGGACTCTGTTCTCCTCTAAAGGGCGGGGGAGCTGTTTCATGTGCTGCACGCCTTCGTGTCCTCCTTAGCACACCCCCTCAGACTGGCTAATGCAAAAGAAAGCAGGTCATTTTCTTGTTTTAAATGAGAATAACCAAAGATTTGATTTCAGCTGATATTATATTAGCAATTTTAAATGTATTCTATCAGGAGCCAGAAATAAATTTGTAGGAATAGCTAGGTTTCCAAATATTGACATTAACTTTCGGTTCAGACATTGAAAAGCCTCTAGTCCACACCCAACCCCCCTCCCAGCACCCTCTCTCTAATCTTACCTAGCTCTTCACTTACTGTCGAGTGGCTTCTCAAATGCTTCTGGCAACTCTGTGTTATTAGTTAAGGACGGCACCTTGTTATTAGATTGCATTTTATTATTTCCTTCAGCTCAGTGCGCACCTAATATTGGAGGGCTCTCCCTATGGGTCGAGATCAAGAGATGCTGCAAATGATGTGGTTTTATTATTTCTGGGCCCCTACGCAGCCAGGTGAGAAACTGGATGCTGTGTAAGCTGACGGACAGGCCGGCATCGTCCGGTTCTGACTGGTAGAGTCCGGTGTCCAAGCCCCAGCACGGCCACTCCTGTGTGCATCACAGAGTGGTTGGGGCAGCTGCGGCTCTGCCCGCTCGAGACGCCTGTTGCATGAGATCAGTAAGCATTCAGCACGGCTATCCTGGCCTTTTCACACAGTGGGTCTAATTTACCATCGCCTCCTAGGGAAATAGATACGTTGTCTTTGGGCCGGCTTTATATACAATGTAACGTCTTATTAGACATATACTCGGCTTCCACCCAGAGTGCATTTTCAAAGGCCACTGGCATGTAAAATGTTGACCAGCCTCTGATAAAAGAGTATTAGTGGCCTGCAAAAGCCCTTACGTCTGAGCACAGGGAGCATGCGCGGTGCCAGGCTGCCAGGCCAGAAGGTCTCCAGGGCAAAGAAGTCCTCTAGAACATTGCTGATAACGCCATGCCCTGCTAGCATATTGACTCTAATTGTCTTAGTAAGTCTAGATAGAATAAACGAATGGAACAAAAATAGCTTTGAAAGAAAATAATAAAGCACATCATTAAAGTTCAAAAACCCTATTATCTTTAAATTCCATCATATCACTGGAAGGGCTTAACTTCATTTTCTTTCCTCGTCTGTTGCCAGAGCCCCCAGAACCTCCCTTTGTGTGGTCCAGGGCGCTCTCTTGGCTGTGCCATAGGGCACAGGGCTTGCAGTATGAATGTAAAACTCAGAAAGAAGCCCAACTTGAACCCAGACACAACACGCTGACCATTCCAACTAGAAATTGAGGGACTCTTCAGAGGAGGCAGAATGCTGGGTGGACAGCTTGCACAAGGGCTTACCAAACTCCAAGTCCTTGATGTTGCAGTGGAAGACCACTTCTTCATTCACCATGAGTTCTACCACATTCCAGTCTTCTATCTTCTCCAGGATGACCTCGTGCCCTTCTCTGGCCAGCACAGCTGGAGAAGACAGAGAAGGAGGTGGGTAACGGGGTCAGGCTTCAGATGACAGGTAGCTGTCCTCATAGATGACAGTAGCACGTCTGCCCCCAGTTGCTCATGGGTATAACTAACTGCCTTGGCAGGCCTTAGCTGGTGCTGGCCCTGTGCCCTCCCCTTTGATGGGAACCACAGCCAGAGGCCTGGCGATTCAGCTTTCCATTGCTATTTCCCCAGACCCCCGTGATCTGTTAAACAAGGAGCTTTTCTAGGAAACGGTGACTGGGCTTTCCAGAGGTTGTGTTGGAGGGGACTCAGGTGATTAGGCAACTTCTTACCCTGTTGATGGAAATGCAAATTGGTCACCTTTCCAGAGGGCAGTTTGACAGTACATACCATAAGCCTCAAAAAACCATTCTGATCTTTGGCCCAGGAAATTGCATTTAAAAGAAACTTTCCTAAGGAAAAAAATCAGAAATACAGGCAGTTTTTTGCAATAAGATGTCCTTTCTATATTATTATCATAGCAAAATACTGGGAACAACTTACATGTCCAATAATAAGAAAATGGTATGTCCATATAATGAGATTTTATTTGGACATTTAAAAAATGTTTAGGTTTTTCATAGTTCAAGTTTTTAATATTCAAGCAAAAATACTGATAAGCAAAAATGAAGATATGAATATGTATAACATATATCAAATATATATATTGAATATTAATTTATGTATGTAAGGAGGAAGAAAACATCACTTACCACAGTGATCATCTCTCTGTGGTAAGATTATATGAAACTTTCCCCTTTTTAATCTTTCAACATTTTCCAGATTGTTTATAATAATCAGAAAAAAGTTTTTTAAAAAAACTAATGAACTAAACTTTTATTCTCACCTTTGGAATACGCATTTTGTTATCACTTATATTCAGTGGCTCCTCCCCAGAGATCAGCCATGGAAAAACAATTAGGTTCAATCTCTGTTGTGGAAGTGCAAGGGTATACGAGTCAGAGGAAGTGGCGTGCATGGGACAGAGGAGAGCTCTCTTCTCTCCAACAGGCTTCTCCCAGTCTCCTTGGTGTGCTCGCCTCCTAACACTGACACTGCAGTGGGCGTGCCCTTCCTCCCCAGTTTCTGGTAGAGTCCTACTCACCCCATGATATAGGCACTAGAGTGGGTGGCTTCTAGCTGCCCTTGGCAGTCTTCATATGCTGGTGAGAATTTTGGTGAGGATGGAATGAGAAATCAGGTGGGTGGCATGTTTTTTAAAGTTTTAGCATTTCAATCAGTCTTACTAATTGGACTGGTGAAAAGCAGACAGTTATGTCAGTTAATTGCATTTAATGACAGAGACAATTGCTGTTTCAAAATGTTGGCGTGTCCACTTCATCTTTCAATCAGTTCAAGAACATCCAGCCCCAACTGTGAACATTTTAATTGCGTGATTTTAATTTCACTTCTGGAAAGGAACTTCAGAAAGAGACTCAGCGAGGATCTCCATTAACAAGATAATGCTGTTTGGGCACCTGGTGGTGGCCCTAATCGACCTGCATCGCGGCATGCCTCTCTAAAGGACGCCAGCATCTTTCCGCTGGCATATTTATGGCAGTGTACCCTGTTTACGTGTCTAGTGTTAAACATCTTTGACGAAGGCACACAGCTTGGGCTGTGACTTGCTTAAATGAAGCAGTCCCGCTGGTTCGGAAGGCCGTTCATCTAGGGGGCATAAAGGCAGTCTGCAGGCAGATTCCTGGGACCCCCTCCCCTAGCAGCGCCCTCGGGAGGGGGGCCGTGTCTGTCTGAAGACACCCCAGGGACGTGCTTCAGCCTGACAGGAAGGAGGCAGGATCAAAGCAGCTTCTCCATTCCCGCCTACACCCCTGCCTCTGGGGCGAGGTGCCGGCACCCGTCAGCACCCCAGGCCAGCGCTGAGGCCTGCGGGCCGTGGGCAGAGGGGGCACGGGCGCTGTCCCCAGCAGGCAGGAGCAGCCCGGCAGGAGGAGACCCGAGGCCCACACCAGCACCGCCACGGCCCTGCCCGGGGTCCTCCTCACGGAGCCTCAGCCTCCATGAGGACAGTGTCACTCTTATGGCACTGTGTAGCTCAGACCAGGATTTGATCCACTGAATGGCCCACTCTGTGGAGTTGGGGGTGCCGAATAGTGAGGGTCCACCTCGTGTGTGAGCAGATGAAGGCAACAGGAAGAAATCCTCTCACGCTCTGCCTTCACAGGCTCTCGGCCCTAAGGGAGTGTGTCTCCCTGCAGCCCGGGTGCCTGCAGGTGCCAGACGGTCATGCAGGCCGGCTGAATTGACACGCTCAGAGTGGTGCTGGTACTGCCTGCAACCCCTGTGGCCTCCGAGTGACTGAGTCTGATTCTTATTAAAGCCATAGCTGCCTCAGAGCCCATGTCGTCCATCCAGCCTCAGGACGCCGGCTCCTTCTCATCCGTCTGGGACGGCTGAGCCCAGCCATGGGGTGGCCAGCGCAGGCTTAAGGGATCAAACACAGAGAAGCCCCAGAATTCCTGCAGCTCATCCAAATGCCACCTCTCTACATGGAGGACCCATTTGTTCCTATGAGCTGCTATGGGGTTGTCTATTCAAAGAAAGGTCAGATAAATATACTCCCTGAAACAAAGTCTCTGCAAAGGCAGTGGCTAAACTCCAGCATAAATCAACCAGAAGCTGTAAGGCCACCCGCAGAACACCCGCCTCTTTGAAGTGGCACCTCATCCTTCAAGGGGGATCTAGATACACTGAAGGGACGCAGATAAGCCTCCCCTCTCAGCGCAGGCGGGTCGCGCCCCATCTGCGAGTGATTTAGACGCGCTGGTCAGGAAGTCACGGCACACAGACCTCTCTCCCTCCTCTACGCAGCACGGAAGCCGTGCCGACCACCGTTAATGACGCAGCTAATGCCTAGCTAGGGACAGGAAAATGGCACATGCGGGTGTCTCAGCTAAATAAGAGTGAAGTCCATTTTTAAGGGTCAGTTTCAATCCCTTCCAATTCCTTTGAGTGGGTCATTTGGCAGACTTAAGTGCAGCTGGCCAGGAGCAACCACGGCCAGAGAAATTACTTACAACTCTTTGTTAAGCTTTAGCTCAGCTTCATCAGTATTGAGACCAGAGTGGAGACATTTTTGCTGAGCTATTATAAATCATGGATAATAAAGAACAAACATTTTCAGTTTGCTCAAGTTCAGAAAAGATCAGGCATATTTCCAAAGCCAGCAGGGCTTCGGGAAATGATAAAGGGATATGATTTTTAAAGAATTACATAGAATTCAGTGGAGATTTTTGCAGGGGAGGGCCTGCAGTTGCACCCCTCTGCTCGCTGTGAGGTTAGTGCTGGGTCTGGAGTGTGTGTGGGGTGACGGACAGATGCTCCCTGCCTTGCTGCTGGCACCCCGGCCTTGGCAAATGTTATGCCAGGATCATACGCGTTATCATTCCTGGACACACGGAGCTTACTTTACAAATCAACCACCTGCTGACACCTTGCAATTCTCAAGTCTCCTTCAACCATAAAAATGCTCCTCTTGGTCTTCTCAGATACTCCTTCCCTCCCCTGCCGTGGGAAGAGCCTGTGCGGCTGCCTTTGCTCTTCGCTGCTTGGTGTCCCCCCACCCCTCGCCTGGGGGAGCCTGCAGCCGGCCCTGCAGCCGGCCCTGCAGACGGCCCTGCAGAGGTCAGGAAGAACCACACAGTCGATGCAGCCCCCAGACACCCCCTCGCCCATCTCCTGTCTTGCTTCTTTAACATACTTTTGCTGGTGAGAAATATGGATACATGTTAAACTCTAACGTCTTATCAGATTGTTATATAGACTCATGACTTTTTAAAATCTTCAAAAATTATAGAAAAGGACAATATCTAAATCTTCCCCTCTCTTTCCGTCGCGTCCACCGCAGAGCTGTGCGCGGAGCCTCACGAGCAGCGTGAGCTGCGATTCAGTTAGCCCTTCCTTTTTCCGGTTGTTTCCAATTTTTCACTATCACCAAAATGTTGCAACATACCTCCTTGTGCCTGTGTGAGGTGTTTTTTTTCTTTCATGAGGAAAATACTAAGGAACAGCAAGCTGGATTCTACAGTCTGTGGTTACTTTTTTTTTTTTGAGACAGAGTCTCTCTCTGTTGCCCAGGCTAGAGTGAGTGCCGTGGCGTCAGCCTCGCTCACAGCAACCTCACACTCCTGGGCTCAAGCGATCCTCCTGCCTCAGCCTCACAAGTAGCTGGGACTACAGGCATGTGCCACCATGCCCTGCTAATTTTTTTTTCTATTTTTAGTTGTTTGGCTAATTTCTTTCTATTTTTAGTAGAGAAAGAGTCTCACTCTTGCACAGGCTGGTCTTGAACTTGTGATCTCAAGCAATCCACCCGCCTTGGCCTCCCAGAGTGCAAGAGCCACCGCGTCCGGCCTGTGGTTACATTTTAACAGACACTGCTGCCGTGTTGCCCTCCAAGGTAACTGCCCAATTTATCCTCCCGTCGAGAGGGCGCGAGAATACTCTTCTCTAAGCCCTTTGCCAGCACGAATTCATTCCTCTCTGGAGATAAAGCCTACTCAGCTGTGTGGGCCCACGGGCCCTTTCCTCTGGAAATCCCACCACACCTGCCTCCTGTGCCTCCGGGTTCTCTCCTGCTTCCGCATCTCTCCCCCCAGCTACTCCTCTCTCTGAACACCCTCAGCCCCTCGGAGGGGCCACCGCCAGCGTCCTGCCTGCCCTGGCTTCCTCCGCAGTCCCACCTCCTGTGGCTCCAACCTTGGGCTTTACGCAGGTTTATGTCCTTAACTAATATTTATTGGTGTTCACAACAAGCCAGGCACAGTTCTAGGCACTGGGACCTAGCAGAAAATAGAACAGGCGAGAACCCTTGCCCTGAAGATGCACCCATGGGGAGAAGGGTAACCAGCAAGAGGTGAAATGCATGTTCTGTTAGCTGCTCAGGAGCACTAAGAAGACATGAGGAGGAGGGTCGGGAGCTCAGGCCGAGGGAGGCAGGGGGAAGCACTGATTTGAGGTGGGCACTCGAGCACAGCCTGCTGCAGGTGACTTGTGAGGAATATCCCAAGGCCCAGAGAGTGAAGAGTGAAGACCTGTGGGAACAGTGTTCCAGGAGAGCAACTGCCAAGACTAGTGGGAGCTGCTGAGTGCTGAGGGCCGGCAGCAGGGGGGGGGCGCGGGGTGAGCAGCTGCGGAAGGGAAGGGGCAAGGGGCCACGGGGAGCCTGGGGGGCCATGTGAGCCTTTGGCTTCCCCCCCAAGTGGGCTGGGAGCCAGCAGGATGTTCTCGGAGGCAAAGGCCACGCCATGACTCAGGCTCACCAAGTCACCTGGCTTTGGCGCTGAGAAAGACCACAGGGGTGGTCTCTGGAGCAACAGGGCAGGAGATGATGGCAGCTAGACAAAAAGATGGGAGGTGGTCAGGAGAGTAAGAAGGGTTGAAATCTAGACTTGCCGTGAACACAGAGCTGACAGGATGTGTTGACAGACCAAATGGGGAGTGTAAGGGAAAGGGAAGAGCGAGCTGATGGTGAGGCTTCCTGCCTCAGTTAGTAACAATTTTTGTCTTAAAGTTTATTTAAGTCTGTTATTCCGTGT